ATTTCCCTGATGCATCATCATACATTATTAAACATGAAAACATGAAAGCTGATCTAGAGGAAGGTTCTACTTTTTTACTGTTCAGATGAGACGGACAGCTCCTGTGTCAGAGGGAGCAAAGCTAATGTAACAGGAACCAGCTAGCATGGCTGGGCCGAATATGGGAAGCTGATGGGTAGCAGTGGATTACCCCCCCGCCCCCCTCTAAACATCCAACCCTGTTGCTCAACTCAGGGTTGAACCAACGGCTCCCAGCCGTCCCACAGCGGAGAGGAAAAGCCGGTCTCACAGCAAAGCTTCAGTGAAATCCTGGCTTCTGCTTTGTTGACGCAGTAAAAACAAGACAAGAGTCTGTTGAGCTCGTTACCTGGATTAAATCACACAAAGAGCAAACGGGAGGGGTGCATCTTACAGCAGAGGGAAGGGCAGAACCGGCTCGGCTGAATATCTGGGACAAACAGCCGTTAACGGCCGTTTGTTTCTACAGACCCGGTTAACGACTCGGAACCACCCCTGGTTCCAGATTAAACCGGTTTGGGTCTAATCTGACACACAGAACCGTGTCTATTAGATCAGCTGGTTCCTCAGGTCCCTTCATCTAGTCCCTCTGGACTCAAACTCAGGAAGCATGGGGTCTGTTCCCATCGCCGAGCAGGTGATAGATCATCAGTTTGGCTTTGAAGATATTAAATATTAGATATTACAGCCTTCTATCATGGCAGCGCCAACACCTTTACAGGAGAACAGAAGACCTCACCTATTCAGCCAGGCCGACTATTCCCTCTAACGACCCCCCTTTCAGAGACACAGACAGGCATGGGGCATTGCAGGCTAACAGAGAAGCCAAACGACCCCCATTCCAAAGGGGGGGACCCGTTCATCCAGGGGCCAACCAAGAACCAACCAAAGACCAACCAAGGACCAACCAAGGGCCAACCGAGGGCCAACCGAGGGCCAACCGAGGGCCAACCAAGGGCCTGCCGAGGGCCTGCCGAGGGCCAGCCGAGGACCAACCAAGGTCCAACCAAGGGCCAACCGAGGACCAACCAAAGACCAACCAAGGGCCAACCAAAGACCAACCAAGGAAAGTGGGGATATTTTGGGATATTTTGAACGGTTGCTTCTGTATCTGCACTGATTGGTACAAAAACTATTTATATATTAATGGAATTAAGATCTTTTACTGAAGTAAAATCCAACATTTCACCATTTTCTGCTGTTTGAAACATGCTGGATGTAAACAATCAGTGAAACGTGAAAACACGTAATTAATTTTTCACTTATTTCTAAGGTCAGTCCATCTCTGCAGTCCAGTAATCCCAGTCTGTTACTGTGTAGCTTCCCTAAACTCTCTACTGGTGTTTTTATATCTAAAGGAAAGATATTCCAGGACATTACAATGTTTTTATGCTCTTTTGTACTATACACACTCTTTTTATATTGTCTGTTGCATTTTTATCTCTAATGGCATCTTGCTTTAACACTTTATTCTCTATAGAAGCTACTGGAACCAGAATTTCCCTGAAGGAATAATCCCAAGGGATTAATAAAGCTCAGTCTATGTCTAATTAAATGAGAGGAAATTAGATAAAGAAAATTTAAACCCGTCTCTTTTTGTTGTATCGTTACCCAAACAACACAATAAATCTGATGTTCGGCCATCATTTAGTCTGGGACCCCATCCAACCAGTGTGAGGTTCCAGCCGCTCAGCAAGGAAGAGCAAACTCGTTCAGTTGGGGAGAGAACCAGACTATCAGGAGCAAACAGGAAGGTTGAGGAGAAAAGTGCTGATTTCCGTTTCCTGTTTTAAGCTTGGAGCTGCAGTCAGACGCTCTGCTGCATCTGAAATCTCAGGGTTAAGGTCAAAGTTTTCTACACTCTGCTGTAGTACAAGTTGGACTTCTAGTTCAGATCTATATTAAACCAAAAAAAAACTCTTCTCTCTAAAAATCTGTGAGGAACGTTTCTAACTCGCCGTGGTTCTAACTGAGCCTCATCTGTAGACGTTAAACGACTAAATCAGCTAAAAGGCTGCTGTAGTATCTCTGAGCGGGAAAAGCAGAACATCCTGCAGATAACAGGAATCTGACACATAGAATGTGAAACATGGACGCTCTGTTCAGGTCAACAATCTGCTGCTTCCACAGATAAATAATAAAAGAAATAAGAAAAGGAAAAAACAAAGAGTACCTCCTCGACTGAGACGGGCAGGACGATCCGGCTGCATGAGGGAGAGAGGAAAACAATCATTAGACTGGTGAACACGTCAGATACAGTGGTGACATCACAATTAAAAGCACAGATTAACTGCAGAGACGTCATATCTGGATGGTTTAGTTCTGGAGCTGCAGTCATTACAGCACCTTTCTTTCTCACCTGATCTACACTGGAAAACCCATCTAGAAATAAGAAAATGTGCATCTATCCTTAATTTGAGTAGATAAATGAGATAGTTTGCCAATGGAATGAGTATTTTTATTTTTAAAATAAAATAATTCAATAATATGCACTTGAAATAAGACAATGCAATTATGTTTTCTTATTTTA